AGACTTATTGTACATCATATGATGGTTATGATCTTTGAGGATGCGGTTGCGGAACTTATTGATATCGATCTTCATTAAACATATCATTCATGAGCATTTTCATATGAATACACCGAGGCATGTGAGGCATGCATATGTGATATGTTTGGCATTGCGGATAATACTTCTTGGGTGATTGCAAAGATAAACAGGGGATGGGCTTTAGTGATTATGGGAGGGTGGACCACTGGACTCTACCCTTGTGATATTATGATTATTAGCGCTGTCGGGTGGGAGACTTCTTGGGTGATCATAGGGATAGTTAGGGGATGGGCCTCAAATGGTCACGAGAGGATGGTCCACTCGTCGGTGTCGATTTCATATTGGCCATCTGATATTGATATTGATATTATGCAGAGCTTTATCCAGTGTATAGTAAGTGGGTTAAAGGCCCAATGAAATGAAATGATTTCGAGTCGAATTTAATGAATATTGGAGTATGATGCATCTTTATTATGATGCTTAAAGTAAATGGCATAGTAGCATATATCGTTATTGTTCGTATTCATGACATACATGATTTTTGCTTACTAAGCATTGGTTTATATAGTTATTGCATTCTAGGTGAGCCTGAAACGACATAGAGAGCACGACTAGCTATGGAGCTCTCACAGGATTCCAGAGTTCGATGTACATGGATGACGATCTGTAGGGTTTTTTTGTGGGGTTTTTTTTTTAAGCTTATGGTTTATTGTGTTATATGTTGGGGATCCTATTTTGTATATCTTTTGACATGACCTGTAGACATGTTTATAACCTCAAAACATATATGTTGGATTATGGTGATATAATTTTGGTTCTGATATAATATATGATTGTCACATGTGACTAGGAGTTAACAAACAGGGACATACTTGTGAAAATGCTTATGTCGTATCATCAGGTGAAAAAAAAATGTGGAATCCTATGTCTAGGTCGAGTCATCAAGTTCATTCCCACACAGGGTAATGTATATTTATCTATACAAATGGAGTTGTGACATAAAGTACCTTTACCTTTTAATGTTAATGTGCAAAATATCCACATTTTTTGGTATTTCCGCTCTTACTTTTACTTTTAATTTGCGAAAATCATCATTTTTATCCAATTTCTCAATAAAAAAAAATATATAATGAACTAATATCTCAATTAAAAGTTATAAAATGACAAATATAAACTCTTCTTTAAGTAAAACAAAAATAAAGAACAAATTACATCTATACTCTCAAGTTTTTAAAAAAGTAACACTAAATTTCAAATAAATAATTGAAAATTGAAAAAATCACTTTCGTTTTTAATTTTTATTTTCTTTTTTTTTTTTAATTAAATAGGAGGGCATATTTGTATTTTACACTTTTGATTGAAAAATTAGATGAAAATGATGATTTCTGCAAAGAAATGTAAAAGAAGGGTGAAAATGCCAAAAAATGAAAAGTGAGGACGTTTTACTAACATTGAAGGGTAAATACGTTTTTTACTAATTACCAATATTATGGAAACCCAACCGGATTGGTCGGTTCAACCGGAAAAATCTAGAATCGGATAGATAATCGGTTCAGTTGATGCTTAAAACCCATAGGTCAGGAACTGGCTTAAAAATCAAAAAGCCAGATGTCCTAACTAAATATTGACGTCCTGGTTGTGGTTTTTACTGAGTTTCCTGGTTGATTTTGAGAGGAAAAAAATAAGAAGTTTAGAAAAATTCAAAATTTAGCACTGGTCTTTCATCTACCTTCTTCCGTTTACATTAAGCTCATTGATGTAAAACCATCTTCTCTACTTTAAATACCCAAAAATCTATAAAATAAAAAATAAAAAAACTTTTAAAAATTGAAGAAGAAAGAATCCACAGCATAGAGAGGCGTCGTCTTCTTTTCTTTATAGGTAGAGATGTAATGAGGAATAATTTAGAATGTAGGGTTTTTATTTTGGCCCATTTAATTTTAGTTAATATGTAGGGAACAATACATAACTTCCACATATAAGAATTACATTTTAAAACTAACAAAATTGTCAAATATTTCAAAATTCAGGTGTTAATTCCACCATACTCCACCTCCACAAGCCCACCCATCCCTACTATCCACGTCCGAAAAAAATTCCAGAAATTAAAAATTGGAAATCATACCCACCTTACAAAACCACTTACCCCACTACATATCTTTACCTCCCAAAAATTTTTCAAAAATTAAAATTTGAACATTACATCCTACATCACGGAACCATCATACTCCATTCCACCTCAACCTTCTATCACACCCATCCAGAAAATTTCCAAGTCACTAACATGCATTATACGTGACTAATTGTGACCAAATTTGTATTTAATATAACTAATTGTGATCAAATTTGTATTCAATGTGACTATCTGTGGGACCAAGTCAAACTTAATTGTGACAGTATGTGATCAAATCAAAATCGATCACAATTAACAGAATTGGTCACAACTTTCACAATAAACACATACTTGACCACAAAGAGTCACCACTAACAAATCTTCACACACCGCAGACTAGTACCTCAATCCACCGCTAGTCACCACCCCTTTACCTCCAACTTTACTACATTCACTTATATGTGTTATTTATGACTAATTGTGATCAACATTGTCCTTAATGTGACTGTCTGTGACCATATCAGTCTAATTTGTGACTGTATGTAACCAAGTCACATACAATCACAGTTAACTTAGATCTAATCACAGATAGTCACAATAAAGATAAAGTTGGTTATATCAAATGCACACCATCAACACTTTTAACAAATCCTAATCACCACAACCGAAATCACCACACCACTACCACCTTATGAAAGATCCATAACACCATCCAAGCTGTCGGACTATGCCACCAACATGTCCACCTTAACCTCGTCTACAAACATTGATCAACAGTTAGGCCTAATACCTTCCGAAACACATCAAAAATCAAGTCAAACACCAGTAGCTACGGATTGTCTTTTGGGCAACACTACCTCCAACGATGCTCATGTTGGTACTACCACCATTGCCACCACCTACACTAAAACCCACCACTACTTTCTCCAATCTACCGACTCGCTACTATAACTACCACCTTATCCACATCAAATATAAATTAACACCGCCACCACCACAACTCACACACCACACCATACCACGAATTCAAAGATTCGTACAACTACCATGTATAAGCACCACCATCCCCATACATCCCGACATCGCACCACCATCTCACCTAGATCTAACAACAGCATCACCAATGCGCAGATCTGCACCAATGTTCCTACTCTTGCAGCAGCAAAAAGCATCGCCATGTCAATGCTGTGAGTCGTGCTCGTCGCTACTTGCAGCAACAGCGATGCCACCGGAGATAAGAAGCTTCGTTGCGGAGTCGCTGCCAAGTACTACTTACAACTGTAGTGGTGTGGCTAACACGATTGCTTGTAGCAATGAAGTCGTCGACGTAGCGTGCAACATTAGTACCTCCAACCCAACGAAAAGCTCCACCACAACCTTTGATTCTGGATATGGTTGGTTGGGGTGGATGCGTAGGTAGGTGTGTCGTGGGTAGAGAGAGAGAAAATAGGTTACGTGGGGGTGGGGTGATGTATGTATATTAGGTGTAATTAAATTTTTATTAATTTTAATTATTTAAACCTAATTAACACCTAATTTGTGAAAATAGAACTTAATCCCCTGTTTTTTGAAAATATATTTTTAAATGTAGGTTTCAACATAATTTATTATAATATGTATTCTGTTTTGTTTATATTGTATATATAGTTGCATTTGGGCCCATTTTTAGTGTTAAAATGTGATATGGGTATTAAAATAATCATTAAAAGTTAAATTATGAATATTAAAAATATTCTTTTACTTGATAAATAGAATATATCTATATATATATATATATATATATATATATATATATATGTATGAAAATTTTAATTTAATTATATTTTGTCCCAGTTCGATATGGTTCGACCCTTTGACCCCTGATCCATTCTCTTTTTTGAGTTAATGCCCAAGTTGATTTTCAAAACATCACTAATTACCCAAATCATGATCACGAATTCACAATACAAAGCAGCCTATCCCCTATGGGTAATGGGCCTACTTTAAAAAAAAAAAAAAAGAAAGAAAATTGGTCATAATCCAACAATTCATCTTCATCAAGCTTCTGGGGGATTTTAGTCTGCAACAATGAAGGGGCGAGTGGGCTATATCCAACACGCCACGTCGCCGAATGCTAGCTTCGCCGCCACATTACAATGTACCTGCATCACGAAAAATAGAGAGCTACTCGCATCCACCAATCCTTCATCTTCAGTTTTCTCGTTTCCTTTCCTTTATTTTTTGGCTACTGTCTACTATTCTTTCTTTCACGAATGGCATATTCTTTTTAATTTTTATCCTTATAAGCCAATTGAAGAACTCGGTAAAAATGTAATCAGTTAACCGATTATTGATTGAACCGTCCAATTAATACTGGTTTACATACACGCTATTTAAAAGTTACAACTAGACCAATGATTGGTCAGACTATCAATTTTCAATTGAATCGATTGAGTTGGCCCTATTTTTAAAGCACTGGTTATTATTGTTGTTCTTGACTTGGGTATGACTAAACTTGTAAGATGGTTTTAATTGGTACCCGCACTCAATTTAAATCTTTATTGTGGAAGAAGTCTTGAGTTCAAATCGCTAGAGATGTGAAGTAATTCATCCATTTCACTTGGGAAGAGTAGTTATAAATAGTGTATATTGTCACTCATTAATTTTGGCCTAGAATTTTCCAGTAGATAAATAAAAAAAATACAGCCACTGGTGAAATTTTGTTAATTAGTCAATAAGGACCTATTTTCAAATCTTCGAATGTTCAATTAAAAAATATTTCATATATTCAATTAAGGGTGTGTCTGTTTCCATTGAAAAACAAAAATATGATCGTTGGGGAATAAATTATTCACACAAAATCTGACAACTCTGAAAAACCAAAACAGGCATTTAATCTCCTCTTTCGAACTTTGCCCTTATCTTTACATGTCTCAACCACCCACTACCTTTTCTCTCTGCCATTATCGTCTCTTTCTACCATTATAGTAGACCATAGGATTTTCTCTCACCCCAGCCGCAAAGTCCGTTTCCAGATCCGACCACTAAAAAATTGTGGGAAGACGATTCTTTTTTTGCACTAAATCATCGGCGCCTGCTTTTATCTCCACGCAGCAGGACCTGTCGATGAGCAAGACCATACCGATATTTTGCAGTCGTCGAACCTGTCCGTCCATTCAATATCATGCTCAAGCCATGGCTTCATATTTTCCCACGGTAAGCGTCGACTACACGTTCATTTGTTGTAAACGACAGAGCATATATAGGTATGCTGTATGATATTCCCAAATTATTTAAAGCATTTTTGTTGGCCATTTTTCGTCGCAGATGGGTGAAAACATACCTTTGTCCACCTTCAACCCTCTTCCAAGCAAGAACCAAGCATTGGGCAGGAAAAACGCCGTGTGGACTCCACAAGATAACCAGATTTTCATCATCGCCTACGAGACAGTAATAGCTGACGATCACCGTAACAGAAAACGCTTCACTAGACACGGATGGAATCAACTCATCCAGTTGTTAACTTTAACTCCAGGCATGATTGGACGAAGCAGCAACTCAAGAATCATTGGGATGCTCATCGGCAAAAGTATAAACGACTGCAGGAGTTGGTGAACTGCACTGGTGTTGAATAAATCTCTACCAAGGGAACAATAACTACCTCGAAAGAGTGGTGGGAGTGAAAGGTTAAGGTATATTGCTTCCTGCCGCCATCCTTTTTCTATTACACGATGGTTATATAAAAATTGCATTCCCATAACCAATAACAAGAACGAGTATTCAATGCCTTACTATAATCTAGTAAAATACGACCCCTGCTTGTCATGGTCATTTATCTATAAAACCACATAATTGCAAAAGAGATAGGAAATCATTTATTGACATTGCTGGTGTAACGAATAGTGTATGATGGTGAATAACAAGACATCACTCCAGATTGGTCTGTATATGATGGTGTAACGGATATGGCTGCAGTTTGCGTTTGCAATCATTTATTGTTCGATCCATTTCATGTAGTTCTTAATTACGTTACAATAATTTTTTGCACTACTATGGACCTTGTATTCAAGATTTTAGTATTGTTATAACTAGTAACGCCTTAAGTGATGCCCAAATGCTCATTTTTGCCTGATTCGAATCTAGCCACTAGAATTGAGAAGAAGCGAACATAGGTCTTTTAAACTCTATCTAGTGTTGTAATCACTGAGTTATATAGTTTGCCCGTACATTCTTCAAGCAACGAGAACACACTACTTCAAAGATATTTCAAAATAGCATAGTTACATTCCAGTGGACACCACTCTGCATTCAAGTTTGGATGCCAACTTACGATTTTATGGCATCTTCTCTTTAACCTTGGGTTACATGTGAAAAGTTCAAAATTTTGTTGTTCATTAACGATAGTCTTTTCTTCAAAACGTTGTCCTCGGTGCTTTGTACATTTTTTACGTTAGAGTTCATTCACTGTGTTTTGGACAAGTGAACAAGGACTACAAAGAATCCAGAGACAAAGGCTACAGAGAGATATACAGCTATAAGGTACTGTTTGGGGACGCCTTCGACAGCGACAAGTACGCAATCACATCAACAAAGCTATGTAGAAAGGATTCGCCATGTTCGAAGATAGTGGATACGAAGACATGTAAGACGTTCATCCGATCGACGATGAGGGCAACGGGTCAAATGATGAGGGTGAGAGAGCAGATACAGATATGTCCTGTCTAGGCTGTGAAAGGGAGACAAAGGGAGGTTTGGCAGGGACAATGAAAAAGAGAAGAGATCCAAAATATCAGCTCAGGAATTATCATTTTCTGTTGACCGCAAAACCTCTTCTAGTGATTGAGTAGCTGCCAAAATCAACAATTCTATTAGTCTTAAAGTACCTGATGCTAAGACATGCATGAAAGAGTTGTAGGTGACGACAGATTACAGAAAAACAGACTTATACTTCTGGATGTGCTCATTTCTGTCCTAAGAAAAAATAGGGAGATACTGGAAATGCAAGAAGACGAGAAATAGAAATTCGACTGGGTCGAATGTTACTAACAGGAGTATATGAAGGCTCAACTGAAGTGAGATGTGTGATTAATAATATTTTCCCGTTACGGCCGATTTATGTTAACAAACTTGTTTGCTTTTTAGGACTTATTTCCTTCTCGTAGGGGTATATTGTATGTGGTGATTTGGACAGTACTAGTACTTTTGATATTCTACATCCATATCTGTACTTTGAACTTTATGTATATTATTTTTATGTTGGCTTTTCATTGCATGCCAACTATTATGGAATTGAGACATCAACTTTTCCAAGAATCCTGCTAAAGCAAATTTTCCCCCTCTCTATCAGTAGTACACGTAACATCAATAGCTTCAAGAATATTTTTTTCTTGTGAGTTATTCATGTCCTGCTACGAGGCCATTATCTGTATAGATCACAATTTCCTATGAAGCAACTTCTATAAATGGGAAAATGAAACAATTCTCTTCCATTGCACACAATTTCTTGCCAATAGCACTGTTAATGATTTCTTCCTATTCTACTTCACCTCTAAGTGCATAGGGCGACATCATTAAAATAAGTAGGTAGAATGGCCCATTTCAACTTCAATTGTCTGCTTTTGCCCTGCTCTAATGGTGAAGAAGATGTTGGGAAAGAGGAATTTGTGCAAGAACTCCAGGATGACATTGTGGTGTGGTTTCGATGCTATCGCATTTCAAAAGTGGATGTCGCAAACTACTATCGCGAACAAAGATGCCGAATTAGAAGATTTTTGTTCGCAAGAAACGAACACGTGTTCATGCTGGATGCCATGAAATGTAGTCTAGAAAATCTTACGCAGAATTCAGGATGTATCCTGCAATGCTACGCATATACTTTGCGACGACTTCAGGCTGCGTAGTCATCAGCATGTAGATGTTTATGAACAAGTTGGGATTTTTTGTGCATGAATCGCATGAAAAAGGATACAGATAGGTACAAACGCTATTTAATCGTTCTTTTGAAATTGTTGGACACTACTTCAAGATTGTGCTCGGAGTCGCCATCAAATTTGGTCAACATCAAATACAACTTGATCCAAACTATAATCACAGTGCGGAGCATCATGTACCAAATATGAACAAGCATTCAATATTTGAAAATTGCATAGGCGCAATTGACGGAATGCACGTTACAACTGTATTGCCGCGATACGAACAAGTAAATTTTGTCTAACAAAAAGACATTCGAATGCAAAATGTTCTAGCAGCATGTGACTTCATTTTGTGTTTCACATTTGTACTTATAGGCTTCAAGGAAACCACACGCGATTCACGCATTTCGACACAGGCTATGCATAGTCTTGAAATTTATTTTCTACATCCTACTCCGAGAAAATATTACCTTGTCGATTCGGGATTCACCCACAGACCGGAGTACATGGCTCCATATAAGGGATCCAATATATTGTACCATCTCCAGTAATTCTATGATGGGTACATGTGCTGTAGAAGACACTTTTGCAATGCACGGGAGAAATTTAACTTCAAAAATGCGTCCTGCAGAAATGTGATCGAGCGTGCATTTAGTGTATGAAAAAGTCGATGGAAAATACTCAACCGTATGCCAAGTTACAATTTCAAAGTACAAACTGCTGCTGTCATAGCTACTATAGGTATACACAACTTCCTTCGACAAGTAGAAGTTGTGGACGAGGCGTTCGCAAGAATGGAGACGGATTCTAAAATGATGGTAGTGGATCTTCCAGGCGACAAGAATGAGCCACTGCTGAAATGAATGCACCAGAAATGTAATGAAATGAGTGGGATTGTTTTCACGATTATTTGGCTCAATGTTAGTAGGTGTATGTTCATAGAAGAATGGTGTAATCATTAAAAACTATAGTATGTAGTGTCTGTCTTCGTTCATTATACTGATTTTAGAAGTGGGAAAAAAAAAAAGCTCCGGTATTGCTTTCGTTCAAGTTCATTTTGTCTTTTTTTGGTAATTGTTGGTGGGCCCCCCGCACTACAAAATTCTTTCTTGGAAATTAGTGATGGGGAAAGGCTACGGGAATGTAAAGTTGGTCAAAATATGATAATTCAAGAGTGGATCGTGGAGAAATGATTTAAAATTTCGAACAACTTGCCTGAGAGACAAATTTTTCAATTTAAGTTGATTGTAATAAAGCACACAGTGCACACATGCAATAGGACCTGTATGATGTGACCCAAAAATCAATTCTCATGAGGCAAAAATCGCTTCCAAACATAAGCTAAAAATAAATATAAAATAAAATCCCCATTTTTCCAAATTTTCTAATAAATTTTGGATCAAAATATTTAGAAATTTTAACTGAAAAACTTAGTACAGTCGCCGACCAAAATTTACCTAATGGGCTCTAACTTAAAATTAACATAATTATGGGATTTAGTTATAATGCTAAAGAGATTCACAAGCTATAGTTTTAACCTAATAGTAGAAAGTGTAATGCAATCAATTCCCACTCTCTTTTCACCATCAGTCAAATTAGAGAAGCACTACACTTACATAAAGTTTTTAACATAATTTATAGTTGTCTTCCCGTGATTGATTGTTGCCAAAAATAGTTATCGCCCGGTATAAATTCTGTACACTTAGAATCTTCCACAAAATTAACAAGAATGTGCAGTGTGGGATTTTACAATTTTAAAAATCTTTCTAAGTTCAAGTGTCCAATTTTAATGAATTTCAATTAAATCTTTTAAAATCTAGATATCCTTAATAAATCGTGAATTTATAAGAATTTCATTAGTAAAGGAATTTCAAAAGATTTTGATGGATTTCAAGCTTAAAAATACGCAAAACAAATTCTCTTAAAATTTCACCAGTTTAATGAGGTTATTATATATTATATAGAAATCTATTCAAATTCAAGAAATTCATTAAAATCTTAAAATTTCAATTGAGTACACTTGTAGATTCGTCTATCAACATAAGAATTTGAGAAACCAACGACTAACAACCAATTTTTTAATCACAAGTGGTTCATTTAAAATATTTTTAATTTTTTTGTTATTTTATCATTAAAATACATAAATAATTTGTTTGGAATTAATCTCAGTTAAAATTTTTATATTAATGTGAATTAGTCTATTCAATTTTGATATTAGTATAAATTAGCATTCAAAATTCCTTGCATATGCGCCATAATAGATTATTCCAATTATTAAATAAATGTGAGCATAGACCTCGATTTTCAACAGTACAACAAGGCCAACGAATCCTGATTCCAACTCTTTACATATATAAGACTTATGCACACTTGAACAAATCATTAGTTTCACGTGACCTTCTTCAGCAATGGAAGAGGCGACAGGGATCACTTCAACGATCAAATCAGTCAACTATAGATATATTTGGTTATGAGAGGAACAGTGGATGAGAGATACAAGAGTGTGTATGATAATCGAATTTGAAGAGAGAATACCAAACAAAGTTACTATTGCGAGTGTAAAATTTGGTAAATGATATTAAGTGTGAACTTTTATAAAAGAAGAGAAAAGGTGGTTAACATTGGATGGATGGCACATGGTTTCATCCTTAAGGATGATGCGTTATTCTCATAGGCGTCACCTTTGCTTGCCTAAGTTGAGTGGGTATTAAATGACTTTAAAAAGCATCCACTCTATAACCTAAGTCTGACACATGAAAAGTTGTTTGAAAAGTTGACTGAGAGGCATTTGCTGCAAGACATGTCAAATTGGACAATCGTTTGAAAGATCTCATACTGTGAAACTCTTAGATGAGGCAAAGCTATTTAAGATGACTTATGGAAGAAAGGACTTCACTTTATAGATGGCCTACAATAAATCACGACACTTCGCCTCGATTATGGAGGTTCAACCTCTACATAACACTTCGGCCAAGGTGATGGCATCACTTTGGCTTCCTTTATTTGACGGTCTCGATTAATCGAAGTAAGCGAATCATGTCGAGTACGCCCTTGTATGAATTTTTTGCCATTTTCCTATTTGGCTGCTATGTGATCTAATAAGAGTGTAAAATATGATATTTTGCCCTCTTAATTGTTGCATTGGTATGATTGTTTGATGTCAAAAAACACTCATTACTCTTATATTTTGATATGGATCGCAATTTGATGGAAAGGTGAAATTTGGAAGAAATGAGTAAAAAGAGTCAAAGTGGAAGAAAGTGAAAGTTCAGAGACCAAGTTACAAATAATCCACAGATGAGACGGGCTATGGAATGATGATTCAAGAAAGCTAGGAGTCAATTGTGTGTAGTTTCAAGTCAAAAGAAGTAAAATATGACCATCACATCTTCACAAATCAATTCCCAATTGAAAAAGTTACACACCAGTTTTCAGCCTCATGTTAAGACCCGTTTTTGACATGGAAAATGAAAGAATTGGAAGATGATTTCTGAAGAAAAGTTGTAGCCCTTCGTGCTAGCTTTCCAACTCAACATGAATCACCTCAATCGAATATTGGGAGGAAAAGTTATGGTTAAAATACTAAAAACTATCAGGCAAAAAAAAAATTGAACTATGCGGTCACATAGTTCAAAAGCTATATGCAACCGCATAGAAGTGTCCAAGGAACTTTTAAGCACCGCACATTTGTTCTATGCGACCGCATGGTTTATAACCATGTGGTCGCATAGTTATCCTCCAAGACCAAATTTGCCAAATCCTTAAATTGATAACATCACTTATGGAAACACGTTTTGACACGTTTCTTAAGCCCAAAAACACTCCAAAACGTAGGGAATTGAACATGGACCCCATTTTCCCCCCATCTTTGGCCAGAAACTCCATGTAAGGCTAAGAAAACTTTGGTGAAGCAAGGGATGAACTGATTGGTACCAGTGATGCCAATGTCTCTTCACGCATGTAATTTGATTTTTCATTGATAAACAATTCTAGTTTATGATTTCCTATTTATTGAATATGTTTTGAAATTGGTTTAATATGTATTAGATTTTCATGGATTTAATAATATTCTTTTCATTGAAAAATTTAAGTATGTATTGAATTCCAATTTCAATCATCTCATTGGTGTGATTCGCTAATATTATATGCTTGATGTATGTAATTGATTTTGAGTCTAATTTCAATGAATTAAAGTGAGAATATCTGTAGGAAATATAAATTCTAGAGTTATAGTGACATTCAATTGATTTAGGTCTCAACTTCAAGCATTGTTGTGAGATTGGTTTAACTTTGACTATATTTCTCATAGACTCAATTGTGTTTTGTCTATTGTGAAATTAACTACTTGTTGAATTTCAATTTCATACAATTTTATTGATGATTTGACTACTGCATTATACTTGAGGTATATTGTCGTTTCTCATAGTGATTTGAATGAGTGATTCACAGTAATTAATCCGAACCAATCGAGGAAATTTCTGCGCTTCATTATTTCACACATTGATTCAAATTGCGTTACTTCAATAATTTATAGTTTCACTTCATTCAAACTAATCAATTCCTTACACAAAACACGAAGAAAACCCTAAACTTTTGATCCTTTAACAAATTTCTTATCTCCCTGTGGAGACGACACCCCAAAGCAATACTGCAACTACCGCGTTATACTTTAAGCGTTATCATGACCAATAATAGGATGCTCGTAGTGCGAGAAGTAATAGCAGGAAAATTTTTACTTAATTATTATAACTTCTATACGTAGATTGGATTGTTGTTGATATTGGCCTATTCAAATACCTATTATTGGTAGTGGAAGTAAAGCAAGAAAGTTGTACAATAGTTAGATTGCATTTGTTGAAAATGTTGAATAAATGCATTAAGCCTTATAAAATGTGTGAAATCTAGTATATAAATGAGATGTTAAAATTGGAGGAAAGTAACTAAAGAAAATTCCATTGCTCCCTAAGTGAAATTCAAAAAATGTATGATTTGAAAAAAAGAAAGATTGTCATAGGTGGTACGAAATTCAAAGTTAAAATCCTTCTCAAAGGCATATGTCGGTTTTGTGCTAAATAACTTTCGGTGGATGGTGATGTAAAATCAAGTGACCTTAATTGAAAATAAAGTGGTTTGAAAATTTTCACAAGACTAGTTTATTGATCTGGCCCAAACGAGAATTAAATTGCTATTTTTGAGATGAAACACTTGAATCAGATTTGTTTAAATAGCACCAATCGAAATAAATCAAGGCCTTTGGATCCATTGAGAAATAGTGGTATGAATTTGTTTTGCCAAACAAGGCATTAACTAATTTAAAAGAAAAGGGGACCATTACGCTTAACACTTAGGGGATGATTGATTACAAGCACGAAACTTGCAAAGAAAGAACTTATGTTCTAAACTATTGAATTGGAAATCGGCTGCTCCTCTCTTATTTTTAACACTTAGGAGATGATTAATTACAAACACGAAAAGAACATATGATCTAGATTATTGAATTGGAAATCAGCTGCTCCTTTCTCGCATTCATGAAACTGTCTTTTTATTTTCTTGGTCACTGCCTTTGATCGCTCCTTCTTGGTGAAGGATTCCTTTGTGTTTAGTCTCATTTTTTTGTGAACGAATCTGTTGTGTCCTTGTGGATTGAAGGGTTGATGATTTGGGTTGGAAAGGAGTGTTTGGGCAAAGAAGTTGGGGGCATAGGCCTATGTGGAATTAGGGTAATATTCAGCCCTAATGGTTATTCTTCCACTATTGGTGTCAAGGTTTACTTTATGACAGTCTTGAATCAGGTTTCCAACATTTTTGGGATTATATATATATTTATTTATTTATTTTTGGGTATTTTCTTGTGAGTAAAGTGTATCAAAGTGGTATTAGATCTCAGATTGAAGATCTATTAAAAAATACTCCATAATAATCACGTACTTTTTATTTTTAAAGAGTTTTTTACAAATACTCTAAACAACTATTTTAAGTTTATTCTTTCAAGAAATAATCAATTACAATTGTTTGCAATGTAATTTTGAAAAAATGAACCAGAAGCAAGAAAAATTAAAAGTAGAACCAATCTTTCGTTCTTACGAAACAGTCCTCAACAGGTTATTTTAAAAATTTGTCTTAATATCCATGATCTGCTCAACTATATAATGTAATCCAGTAGCATTTTAAGCTTCGAATCTCACAGGAGAATGGAGTTTATATATGGTGAGCAGAAGATAACCCAACATACAAAATTGTGCATTTTCATACTAAATTTAATCACTGCTTTTCACAATACATCACTGCACCGAGAAAAGCAAACCAGACTCTGTATGCCAATCACCAGCTTTGTATGAGAACATGAAACTCCAGTGACGGATTAAACCCTTTGTTGGGTATGTGCTTCAGAATGACTTTGGCCCACATTAAGAGGTACAATATCTCGACTGCGCACGTAAGTTAGAAACTGCCCTGGTAGCTCTTCCAGTAAAGCTTGAACCACTGAGATTTGTCCACCTGCAAAGGATGAAAAAAATGTACGGCTGAGATGTCTTAAGATGGAAAAGAAAATCACACAAACAAGAAGAAAAAGATTACACTAGTTTACATGTTTGACATGTAAGGTGGTAGCAAAGAAGAAAGGAAAACCAACTAAAATTTTATCTATTGTCTAGTTGAGTCGAGTTTTGTCCAATAAAACACACCGAACATAATCACTGTGATTGCCTCAGTACCATGCCATTAATCCAGAGCATTTCTTAAATCCATTAAACAAAAAATGCATGCAAAGTATTTATACATCTTATGATGAAGTCCTCGATGAATAATTTAGGTAATCTACAATCTAAATCCTGGGATGAACCAAAATATTAAGATGAAAAGGGACCAAAGGCACTAAATAATTTATGTCATCCAAATGGTCATATCTGATTAAAGGCGCTGACCATGCACTTCACGCATTGGAACGAATTGAACTATGTCTCGTGTAGCTATCCTTCCAGTAGAACTCTCTAATCGACGTCCCGTATCAGCATCAAGGATCTGCATTGCAGAATTTACGCATGAGATTCTCTAGGAATTTAATTACTGAAAATACTCCATCTTTAAGAAATTTCTCGCTTTGATAAATAAAACAAAGAATATACCTCCATTTGTGTAAAATCTGCACCACCAACTCCAACAATGAGGATTGACAGTGGCAAGTCAGATGCCCTGACCAAGGAATCTATAGTTTCTTGAAGATCGGTGAGGACTCCATCCTACAAATTTAGAAGTTTAGTACACAGCATTAAATTGATATAAGGGTTAAAACATTGATAGTCAAATTATTGCATCAAACCTTTTTTTTCCCCCTCAAATTAGTCACAGCACTTCCATTTCTTTTCAGTTTACACACATCTATGGCTGCTGAACTAACAAAAATACTAATATGGCTTAGAGCATTATTTTTAGGCCCATTTGGCCCCCATTTTGGAGAAATGAAAATGGGAGGAATAGTGTTCTTTTTTTTCTTTTTTTTTTTTTTTTGAAAAATGTATGGTTGAAAAAGAAGGAAAAGTTTTCGATTTACGTATAATATTATTTTATGAAAAATTGTGTGGTTGAAAATAGGAAATAGAAAAATGAAATGTAATAGAATTGAAATTAATGGGGGCCAAACGGGGGCTTAATGTCTAGCTAGGAAAAATCTGTCAGATTTATTTTTCCTTTTATTGTTTTTTTCAGAAACGCATTCTGAAAGAACATGATTCAAACTAGGTGCATTTTGCCAGCTAGACTAAAATAACAAGTCAGTTAACGTCATATTTACTGTTAGCTACTCGGCATTTCCACTAACTCAGCTTACGGAGATGGACAAATGCAGGAACTGAAACAAATGCAGTGACTGGTTTGGCAACAAAAAGACCAAAATGAAACTACCCTGTAAGTGGGGTGATTAAAAATGTTTTTAACCCAATAATAAAATCAGACATGAAAAACATAAGAACAAGTTGTTCAAGACATACAGTTATAATCAACAGGACATAATACTTGGCATGACTGTCAGAGATGGAGTGGCCAGCAATATCTGCAGCCTTGTTTATGACTTGACCAAATAGTGTGGGTCCAGCAAGAGTAACATTTTGCAAAGCACTTGCATAAGCAGACATAATACCTTCTACACCTTCAACCTGCAAAAACAAAAACGAGAATTTTATATAAACGTATTACATGTATCTGAAAAATCCATGCAGTGTCCTTTAGCCTACCAAAGATATAAAGATAATGACATGCCTCGTCTATAGTTTTCAGAAACCTCTAGTTGTTCTCCAGTTTAAAACAATTTACAAACTAATACATGCTTAAAATTAAAACATTATCAAAATCTTTAAATACTTCCATGACCGATTCCAGTTAAGTAATAATAGGAAATGCTTGTTTGAGTTTCATTATGATCTTATGATTTGAAGTCAAATATTAATTTGAATCACATTCGCAACTACCACCCATTTATTATCCAGATATTTCAGAGAACCCATACTCCTTTTCATTATGTTTCCAATGCAATGAAACCCAAACAAGCACATGATGATAGAAAGATTAAATTTTTCAGAAAATAATATTGCTCAAGCAAAGATTGTTACCTCGAAACCAATGGGACTTCCATTCAAGTTAAAACAGTGAGATACTGAGCCTTCATATGATCTTCCACCAAAGCCCCAAGCAGGAAAGCGTTTATCTGAATCATAGAATTGAATGACCTCCCCAACTTCCATTATAGCCTAAATGACATTTTGTCAGTATTATCATTTAAATCCCAATTTTAAGTAAAGTGATAATTATTCAAATGCTATTTGATACTAAGTAAAAAGAGGAAATTGCTGTAGTAAAACTTTTGGGATAAGAAATTACTCTGACATAATAGAATCAAGAAACTAATAGTGACATCTTTGGTCATTGGAAAACCTTATTTATCTCATTGAGTAAACTTTTGACAAATCATAGGCAGTCACTGATGTCTTCATCCAACAAGGTACTTAGAATATATTCACCGAATAAAAGGATATTATATTTTCTTTAGAAGAAATTGAAGATGTTGAAAACAAGTCAGTTATTCAACTAAGGTGTTCCACCTGCTTACCTGCTGGTAGGCATTTAACTGGCCTGAAGGATTAATGTAATGTAAAGAATCTGGACTTCTAGGATTTCCGTTCGAAGCTGGACAAGTTTAAACCCATATGAATTAATCTAGAACTACAATTTAATTGCAGTAAGGACAAAAATATAAGATTGGGAGAGACAGCTACCAGTAAAATCAACAGCAACCATGAAATTAAGCTCAAAACCACTGGAAATGTAATCAAGGAAGCTGTACAGTTGTTTCTCAATTAAGCCGTCCACAAAAAGTTGACCTTTGAGAAGCTATAAATAAGGATAGGAGGTCAGATGTGCCAGAATTAGCTAAAGCCTCTGCAAGTACTCACTGCTTAACTAGGAGAATGAGAAACCTTTTCATGACGCCGAAATCCAGAAGGTGGGGAAATGAAATTTGCACCAGTTTTATTTTGGTGAAGAGTTATCAGTTCGGCCACAGATTTATGGAGTTTTCTGTTTGAAGAAAATACTACTCAGTACAGGAAGGGGAAAAAATGAAACCCTAAACTCTACAGAAAAGAAACTAGGAACTAAACATTGAACTTCCCAGGATGGGGATCAGAAATGAACTCCTAACTAGAAGCACCTATATACGTACAAATTGATTCTACATACCCGATAAATACATGATTACCATCGCTATTAAAATCAAAGCACTCGATAACCAATGGGTTTTCCTGCAAAAGGGAAACATAATTAAAAAACAAGAGAGAGGGTTTGGTATAGCTGTACAATGACATGACATGGGACATCAATTGTGAATCCTACACTTTTAGTGATGATCTCCAATGTTGCCCCATGACTTTCTGTATAAATAACTTATAATTTAACACTACAAATTCAATTTTTAATGCAAAACACCTAAGAATGTCTACCTTGTGACAGCTGGGTAGATGCTTATAAATAGAAACGTAAAAGATCAAATATGATAAAATCATAGAGATTAATGTTAAAATTACATTGTCAGAAGTGGGGGAAAAAAACTTTGCCATCTGAAAGACATGCAAGTTTGAAAAGTTACCTTGCTCCCATATTGCTGCATCGTTAGACATACAGGTTTCCAAACTGGACTCAAGTTGTTGTTCACGACTTCTGTCTTGCAAATTGGAATGGAACCCCCAGACTCGACAGTTCTAGAAATTCTCAAGAAAGGATCCTAAAAAAGATAAATATATGAACACTTCAAGAAAAGAAGTTTAGAGGGACACCAAACTCTATTAACTAGTTATTCAAATCATTTCTTTTCTTCTTTGCAAACACCTACACTTTTGGAAAATAGATCCTTGTTCTCCAGATGTGAACAGCGAAATGTCATCTCCACTGCATCTCTGGAAGCAACAGTTTCCTCTGCATGGACTGTAAGTGTCCCCAAGTTTTTTGAACTCCGTCCATCTCTATGATGAAGATTCAAGGTCAAACTTTGATTTTGCCTAGTAACGATCTGTCACGAGCAGAAAGGGAAAACAACATTACACTACACAAAATCCAAATTTATATCCAGAACACAACAATGCCAAGAACCATAGATAATTAAGATAAAGTAGAACCTGTTGTGTTAACAGTTTACACAAAAACAAATGATGGACTAATCATCCTTCAACCAAAACCTTCTTTTAACACAAGTTACAATACATTTTCATGTACAAATGGATCAAGAAATGAGAAGTTACAAGCAGGTATAAAACTCTCCTTCTAAAAACAAAAGCAAACTCTCAACAGTACTCCAATATATTTTTACAGATGCAAATAAATTTGAAGTTTGTAGAAGCAAATAAAAACAAAGTTGAGTAGGAAGTAAAACCATATTAATGGAATTATACAGGAGGCATTAAACTTAAGTGAGATAGATTATTAGACATGCTACCAGTCAAAATACAGAAAAAAATTAGCTTTGACATCAGACAGATTTATTAGAGAATATAAAAAACTATAAATGCTTTTTCCATCTTCAACTCACGGCTAAGATCACCCCTAAAGACAATCTTTAGAACATGTTCTGTCCCGCATTTTTATTATATATTCAAAGGATATGACAGATAGATTCAACTCACCTCAGAGAGATAACAACTGGCTTCACCAAGGAACTCTTGATCATTTAACTTCAGCATCTGCAAAGTAGGATTAATTGTTGTTTGAGTTATACATCTAGAGATGTCAACAATCAAAATCAGCCAGTTAAAATTAATATAGCCAATTTAAAATTTTAGTACCAAAGTATTTAAATTACATCTGAATGGTATCTTTGACATAATATAACTTCTGAATTTTCTCCCAAATATAATAACATCTTTCCACAAACATACATGGAAAAGAAATGCTTTTTCTTTATCCACCATCAAGCTTCACAATATTGAATAAAGACAAATATGGTGAAGCAAATTAATCTAAAATCAAATATCAACTATATTTTGAAAGAAAATAGCTTACCTTCAAAGGTAAGTTATGATATTTTGTATCAACATCATAAATGCGAAAGCTGAAAAAAAATGGTTAGACAAGTCAAGCAAACCATTAAAAGAATACAAAAGAGAAAAAAAGGTACAGCAATCTATAAAAGTAGAAACATTCCAAAGAGAACCAATAAAATCGTACATCAATGGTTGAACAATCTCAAATTGATAAGTAACATTAATTTTTTGAATCCAAACAGGGTCCAGGTTGTTCATTATCACTTCTGTGCGACCAAGTTCCTCAAGGCTTCCATCCCTTTTCTTTTGATACGACACAACCATAGGATCACTCTGAAATTAAGAAGAATGTGATGCTTCAGTGAGAAATATTATTTATATATATAGAAGGAACAATAATAAAAGGGAATACTAACTCAAGTGAACTTCTAGTACAAAGATGATTCTATGGCATAAAATAGCAAAATCTCAGGGGCTTCTTGAAGACCTTATGATCAAATATAATAAAAAAATAAGGAAATCAGCACATTCGGATGACAGAAACTTGTGATCATCATTAAGATAATCCAACCATACATCCCACAATTCTTATAAGTTGAGCATCTTTAAGGCTTTGCTGATGAAAGCAGCAATAAGGGCTTCCTCTCCCCACCTCCGACCACCCAAAAAAAAAAAAAAATGCTTACACTCCTCTTAGATGGACCAGATAGTTCGCAAAATAGAATATGCACAAGGAGAGAAAGTCTAAAAGTGAAAGAAGTAAAGAAAAAACTTTCAGAACAAGCTTCATATTTCTAATTGTCCACTCCAATCCTCTCCTTCAACATATCCTGCCCATCTAACAATTTCGTGAAAAGAGAAGTAAAAAGTGAAGGACACCCATGTATTTATTTTTCAGAACAAGCTTCATATTTCTAATGACCCACTCCAATCCTCTCCTTCAACCTATCCTGCCCATCTAAGAAGTTCATGAAAAGGAAAAGAGAAGTAAAAAGTGAGGACACCTATGTATGTATTTCTGCTGTATTTGATTTGGAATCTGTAGAGATGTCCACAAACCTTGAAGAGTTGGGAAGACAAGATTTCAGTAGAAAATTCTTTTTCAAAGTCATGGGCTGATATAAAGAGAGCGGACAACTGCCTGGTGCTTCCCTACAATGGTTAGATCACTCCCCTTCTTCTAACCTCTCTTGGTTAATCTAGAGAAAGGTACAATAGCCATTCATTTTGTCTAGACATTGGGATAGATTGCAGATACAGTTGTAAAAATGGGATACCATTACTCGTATATTCGTGCTTCCCTATTCTCGAACAAGAATTTCAGATCGTTGGCATTATCCTTCACATTCATGTTCTCTCCTTGTTTTTCTATGTATTTTTTATTTCTTTTTCCTGGTGCCCGGAACTGTTTTTGAAAGAAACTTATTACATCAAACTCTAGAAGTGTTTTGAAGTAATTTCTTTTCCCATTCTCGCTTAGATTATTTTATTTTTTCGAAGTTCACTAGAGCCTATTTTTCAGGCATGGATAAGGAATTGGCATGTAACTTTCTAGAGAGAAAATTATAAACGAAGAAAAGCTCGATTGCCAAAAATCCTATTGCAAAGGGAACCAATGAAGTGTTACTTAAACTTGAATAATCCAAAACCTATTTTTTTATACACAACGTTTCTTCATATCCTCCATGTTTTACTAGCAGCTCCTGGCTAGAGTTGTAACATGCTGCTAAGCTCCATTTGTGCATGCATCGTTATGTCTACAGCAAGGCTACATATTTTTAAAAGTGGCCAGAAGCAATTGAAAATTTGTCGTTCCTTAGACCTGTCAAAGAGCTTTAGATTGGTAAGATTCATGTAGTCAACAAGTTTATCCGGAATAAAGGTTATATTCTTCTTCTTAATGCCGTCATTATTTTTAACAAATTACAACAGATTAATTATGAAGTGATTGCAGAGATCAATAATATAATATCACATATATTGCTATGTAGGATCTTAGAGTGACACCACAGTAAGTTCAATGACATTGACGTGGAGTACAAATTTTACACTTTCAAGACTCCACTCAGTTTTCTATTCTACATATGTCCAAAAAGGCCATTCTAAATTTCATCTGGCACTGCATTCATGTTTTATTCATTTAAGAATTAATATTTCTAAAATATTAACAATCTCAAGAATGTCAAGGATTTCAAAGGCAGTAATATAACAGCTAGAGACAAAGGAAAATCTAAACTGTCACTTTGAAAAATAGAAAAAGTGACCTACAAGCTAAATATTATGATATAGCATACAAACAAAAGTGTGAACGACCAAGATCGGACCAAATTAATGCATGCACAAAAAAGTTCCAACACTTGAAAACATGAAAAGACAACGGGATGTTAAATTTAAGTCTCTAAACTTCAATTGAGTACCTTAGACAGGACATCAAGATCACGAAGCTTTGATGCTGATAGAGATAACTGCAGTTCACAATTAAATAAAATGTAATGTGAGGGCAGTCAAACAGGTTTCTAGTGCAAATGCTACAAAATACACAACTTAATAGAAGGGACCAAATATGGTCCATCACAGACAAGCCCAAGATTACGGAATAGGGATTGCCTTGTGGCTTAGACAATTACTATCATATCTTCTCTACTGATGTTGAAATGCATCTCATTTTCAATTATTAAGTATTTCTAAATTTAAGATTAAGCAACGCAGTCAGCAAAACATACATCTGAAAACAAACATTTTGGATGAAAGAAATTTTGATACTAAATCCTGGTGGAACTAGAGGAAGATAATATTAATTTCCTAGGATAAGTCAGGATACCATCTATTCACGAAAAGTCTTGATTTCATCCCTGTCTCATGTTTTACCTAGGTCTACTCAGCCAAGAGAGCCAGATGGGAATCTCTGAACTATTGAATATTTTGCCAAAGGTAATTCTCAAAATGCCATTTTCACGATGCACTAGAGTCAACAATGGAGAAATCAGGTCTAGATCATTCGTTACAGTAAATCACCAAGATTTTTCATCCATTCTAATCTTGTTTCAGAGTTTAAATACTATCATAAACCACATTTTCACGTGAATGCGTTATTGATTCCTACTTATTGTTAGGCTCACTTTTGTAAACCTATCATCTAGTATTTGAAGTAGAAGACCAATAATTAAGAACAGTTACCCAGACCGTCTTCCTCAAACCATGAAATTTACCCCCCCCCCCCCCCCCCCCCAAGAAGTTATTTTAGAAATTCACATGTGATATACTCTACAAGAGTGCTTCAGTTTTCAATCTGACGATAACTCGAGGTATTACAAATAAGCTGCATGGCCTGCATGGTTCCCAAAGTATTGGAATTTCGAAACTCGATATCTGGACCACCTGACAGTAAAGTCCAAGGAGTCAATAATTCGTGTTCAAAAAAATTATTCTCTCTTTGCCACATCAAGAGAGAACTTTACATCCCTTGATTTAGACAATATAAGAGAACTCCATTGTGGTGGGGTAATGCATCTGTGATTGTCCCTACAATGGTGCCTTACAAATATCAGCAGTTAGATAAATTAATTGGACAGGCTTGCCCAAATATTTAAATATCCCTATTGTCACAAACATTGGATTCATATAACAATCTTTTAATTTCGATTATAATAATATAAATAAAACCTCCCATGTCTCACTGGATTACTCAATCAATTCTCCCAAAAGCTACAGCTAATAGGAGAGATTCAATCAAGCCCTTATACCCAATGAATAGGTACTGGAATCAACTCCAAGCACTATTCGTACTTATTTCGAGAATCCCTTGCAATCAAGAACTTTTATCACCTAACAATAGACCCCAGGGTCTGCCCCGAGCACTAATATTTTAGAAATTATTCCGAGAATCCCTTGCTAAATAGACGCAAGCACGTTATATATACACGTATGTTTATGTACCTCCATTTTTGTGAAAAGAGCGTGGAGGCCTTTTGTTCTGAAGAAATGGTCCACTGCATCATTGTGGCCGGCATCACTGCGGACATTCTGGGGCCTCTGGTGGCTCCCACCGCCTACGGCCTGCTTGCCACCCTCTAAATCAGAAAAGCAATTACCCATGATTCAGAATCAAAACCTTATCTCTTTATATAAATCTTCGGAAAACCCAAAACCCTTCAAGGCTTTATACGGGACAGAAACTACAATGGTTCCTGGAAATTGCACGTAATAAATCCCAAATTAAATACAAATACTCTATTTAGAATAATTCAAATTGGCATTTCCCTTGAATGTATCGAAACTGAAATAAAATTTAATAATTCCCAGTTGTCACGATTGAATTTATAGTTGATAAATCCTATTCTTGGGTCCAAAATCAAATCAATCTCTACAAGCAAAGTCTATTTAACGTGTAGAAGATGCTAGTACATTTAACAATTTCCATAATGATATCGATGAAAAATGCAAGCGAAAAAGAAGTTTTGTATGATGGTTGAAGTCTTTACCTAAACGTCATAATTTGAAACGTCACGCGTGTGACATACACGAGGAGATAATCATTTCTGTCAATATCATCTTTCTTTTCCTTCTTTTAACCATTCTATTTCTTAGCCCTTCCTTCACGTCCTTTAAAATTTTAATATATTTTTATCCCCTTTTTTTTATCACATATTTTTTAATAAAATAATATCACAAGTAAATTAAAAAAAAATTCTTTTTTAAACACGCATTCTTCCAAAAAATATTATTCCATAGCTCTTGATTCGTTTCCATTATTTTTAAAATACATTTTTCTCTCTTATTTTCAACCACATGTTTTTCAATAAAATAATTTTACACCTAAATCCCAATCTTTTCTTTATTTTTAACCACATATTCTTCATTAAATTACGATTTCAAAATGTATTTTTGACAAATAATGAGCTCAAACAGGGTCATAATAATTTTTTTCTAAAATTTTTCTTTATAATGGAGTCAAGCAAGTGCTTTGCTTACTTTTGTTAGACTAGGAACAAAACTAAGTGTTACTTAAAAAAATTATTAGAAATGGCCAGATAAGTTCACTTCGTCCCATCCAGCACGCTTTGTTCCATTGGCCGACTTGATAAACATGGATAAAAAAATCACACTCTAACTTTAAAATTTAGAAGTATACATCATAGCATACACTGAGGTGCTCCTTACTAAATCGACGAGCACAACTCGGTTGGGCATGCCAGTATAATTAGTTCTATATAGGCTTTTTTTTCTTTTTTTTTTTTTTTATCCAGGTATCCCAACTTACACCAAACTAAATTCTGGACCTCCAAGACCCATGCCCCTAGAACCTTGGAGAGGGTAAATCGCGGATTATACCTTAACTGGATCACAGATTCCCCCCATTGACTATACACTTCTGCGTACAAGAGACTCTCCTCCACAGTGATTGCTCCATACCAAATTTTTTGGCCGCAGGTTCCCACCAGGAATCGAACTCTCCACCCTGCCGCTGGAAGCAAGTCAATGTTGATTGATCCATCAGTTGAGCTGTGCCCCGAGGGGCTATATAGGCTTATTCTAGGCACGTGGGGAGTCTATTGTTGAACTTGAAAATTCAATATTTGTTTGGCATCGACTTTTAAAAAAAAAAAAAAAAAGGTTGAACCTCAACCTTGAGAATCCCCACCGTCCCGTCCCTGAAACATTGTGAAGAAAGTAAATCGCGGGATGTGCTCCAATAGGGCAGGGAACAAGAGTTTGCCCGTACACTGGTGTCCATAAAGAGTCTAATTTCATATCTCAAGAATCGAACCCTCACACTGCGATTGTCAGTAAGGCTGAAACTATCTCACTCATATCCTTTGTACCACTGTGTTATGCCCCAGGGCGTTGACACTAATTTTTTTAATTATACATTATATGGGATTCGTAATTTTTCTCATTTTTCAACCACAAATTTAAAAAAAAAAAATTATTTTTCACTTAAATCATTTTTACTAACACGAACTTTTAATATGAGATCTAATTGCATTTTTCGCACGTAAGGCAATCCACGTCTGAGTTACCTTCAACTCCTTGACATAAGTGGCTTCACTCAAATCAAATCGAACATTAAGCCCAAATTTGAAAATCATTATTTGAAATTTATTTTTTACATACTCATTTTCAATTACAAATTTGCATAATAAAATATTCAGCATGTAAATACAAAATTTCTCTCTACTTTTTAGTAACAGATTCACCTAAAAATTACTATTCAAAATATGATCTTTCTCATTTAATGATTATCAAACATGGACTAAATTAGTTCGTCAAATCATAGAACTAAAATCAAGAATCGAACCAGTTGCACATTGACATCCCTTGATGACACATCATGAATGCAAACTAGTTGTACAAAAGAAGTAGCACCTTGAAAGAGGTCTTCAACTTGAATATAATATCATGTATACAACAATCAATCTATATCGTTTCACTTTCTCTCTTTTTTCGTTTCTATCATTTTTCTTTTTTTCTTTTCTTTTTGGCTATAAATGTGTTTGTATAAAATTCAAATCGTGCCTAAAGTTTGAACTACTAATTACATAAGTAATTAATTGTCGGTTAAATTTCAAAATGAAAATCTGAATCTGTCTATGCTTTTGTACACTTCTTATTTGATTTAAAATCCAAGTATAGTTAGATTCCATTTTATATTCTTTTTATTTTGATTTTTCTTTTTCATTGGTTTGTAATTTGAAATATGGTAAATTCCTGTATGGAGTCCCCCCAATGTTTCATAAGTAAAGCAACTATATCCCCAATCTTGCATTTGTGTCACTCATGTCGCAAATCTTTTAACGTCATTAGCTCAATATCTCCAATGTAAGGAAAGGAAAAAAAAAATTAAAAAAAATCTATTTTTACATTAAATGGTCACATAAAACATATGTAATGATGTCTCACTCAAATGGTACAGAATATAGGATTTGTAGTTCAAATTCGGTTGGATTTTTCTGGGGGATAATTTTGTTTCCATTATTCAACATATTTTTCACTGAGAAAATATTATTTCTTTTATTCCACAAGTTTTTGATATTATTTTCATCTTTAAGAATATTGTTAGGATTTTGATATGTCCCACATATATAGTTGTCCCTTCTTTACAATTTGATTTATTACAGAAGTTAGAATAATTGTGAAAAACACAATTGTTGTAATTCTTTTTTCCATTATAGTTGAATAAAATATCCAATTTCTCTGCTAAATTATATTTTTATCTTTTGTGTTCATCTTATTGTTGTGATCAATATTTCATATCGTGCCGTATAACCTCGTTCCGCTCCCAACAAGTAGTATCATAGTTTTGGTTTTTTGAATTGTTCAAGGTTCTCGTTCTTGATGGCAACCCTGAAATTTAATATTCCGCTTTCGGTTCACGATACTATATTCTCATTATGGCAAGTGAAGATGAGAGATGTACTTGCGCAGATGAATTTGGATGATGCGTTATTGGAATTTGATAAGATGTCCTAAACTTGGTCAACGGAGGAGAAATAACATGAGGATCGGAAGGCACTTCTCACAAATTCATCTTTGTATTTTGAATAACATTTTCCAGGACGTTTGAAGGAAAAATGGCAACTGCATTGTAGTTGAAGTTTAGCGATTTTGCATAATTAAGAGTCTAACCAACAAATTGCACTTGAAGTAGCATTTGTAATTTCATCGCATGACAGAAGACGGATCGTTGGAAGATCGCCTAGCTATTTTTTAGGAGATCGTCGCTGATTTGGGTATTTTAGAGTCATAATACTCACCATTGAAGACGCGTATGATGCTTTGTTTTCAAAAGAAAAGATGAAACTTTTGGTTGGATCTGAGGCCAAAGATGGAAGGCCTTATTGTTCATGGTCATCACGAAAAGGGCAAGTCAAAGTCTAATATTAGTAATCCAGTTTGTTTTTATTGCAAGAAGAAATGATACATCAAGAGGAATTACAAGAAGTTGCGGAATAAAGATAAGTTGGCTGCAAAATAGAAGAGAAAGCAATCAAATAATTCAAGCAAAGCCGATGTCACAGAGGACTATTTGAGTGAAGAGATATCCTTGCTTTTTTTAATGGTGAATCTTAATTTGATGAAGATTGGATTCTAGATTCAGCTTCTGTTTTTAACATGTGCGCCAAGTGGAATGTGTTTGTAACATATGAAAGAATTTTGAAAGGTGTCATGGTCATGAAATATAACTAACCTGTCAGATAGATGGTATTAGTAGAGTCACACTTCAACTTTTGGATGAAACAATTAGAATACTTGATTAGGTTTAACATGTTACTGATTTGAAGAAAGATATCATCTCGTTGAATACTCTTAATTCAAAAGAGTACAAGTTCTTTCATGAAGGTGGAGGTGGAGATTTAAGGGTTCGCAAAGGTGTCTGTGTTGTATTAGATGGGCAAAAAAAAACCCTAATTATACATCTTGCAAGATTATGGAGAATCCAGGAAAAACAATCAACAAATGTTTAGTACCATTGTGGATATTCGGTTTGGTTTATTGTTGGAATTTGCTACTAGGGTTTATGTTGAAAAATATAGTTCAGTCGAGTTCAGATGATATGGATAATGTCATTTTACTACTACCTGCGCTGACAAGTTATTCAATTATTAGAGACAAGCCCAGTGAAGATAGGTATGATGATGCTGATTTTGTTATGTACGCTTAAGATATATCGTGGAAGAGGTGGATAATTTTTTTGTTCGTTGGAGAAATTAGTTTGATTCTTGTTGAAGTATTCAGTTCATTCTTTGCAGTAGATTTTTTCTCTAGGCGGAGAGATTTTGGAGTTTCGTTTGTTGCAATGGAATTTTTGTCAAAGTAGAGATTATTGGATTTATGACCCAAATTTGGTTGGATTTTTTGAAATAATATTGTTTCCTTTATTCCACGTATTTTTTATTGAGAAAATATTATTTCATTTATTTCATGTGTTTTTTTTTACTATTTCCATCTTTAATAATATTGTTAAGGTTCTGATATGTCCCCTCTATATAGTTGCTTCTTCTTTACAAACTGGTTTATTACATAAGTAAGAATTGAAAGAAACATGTTATAATTCTTTCTACGTTATAGTTGAATAAAATTTTCAATTCTTTTGCCAAATTAAATTCTTGTTTTTATGTTCATCTTGTTGTTGACGTCAATACTTCCTATTTTGCCATATAGTCTCGTTCCATCTTTGACAAAAAATTATCAAAAAAAGATCAACATTTAGCCCTTGTTTTGTAGGAATTAAAGTTAGAATTTTAGTAGATTTTGATAAAAAGTTGATGAAATGTATGCTTGAAAAATTATGAATCCATGAAGTATATAATTGGAATTAATTATCGACTTTAACTTTAATTTTAATCCCATCAAACATGGGGTTAATGTAATATCAACAACTACTATTTGGGTTTTGTAATAAAAGTTATTTTCTTCGGATAATGTTACCATT